ATCTAGACCAAAAATTGCAACTCTTCATAAGCTCTTTCTGATATTAATCTTTTGTCCCGCTGCTCTCCGAAACCTCTTCGTAATCTCCCGTCATTCTTCTGAACTTCTTGAACAGAAGTTTATAGCACCAACCAATCCGTTGATTTAAACAATTTCTGACTTTCAGATGACATCCGTTGTGGCATCATCTTTGCATCTAAGGTCTTAGAGGAAGCACTGTGGTCTGTGTCGTCTTCCATTGTCACGATTCCTAGCTCTCGCAATCAATGAGTTGCAGGAAAGCTTAAGGGAGGAAGTGATTTATATCTGTTGCAATGGAGAATTTCTCACAAATCATATTTTCACTCTGGAACCCACACAGCTTCTGCTTCACGAGATGACGCTCAAAGTGCGTAGAAATAGCTGATTCTGGAATGGAACCAAACATCCGTGAAGATGTAGCCGATTTCATTTTAGAGCATACTACGTAGCAATTGCTAAGTCTCACGATCAATCTGGCATCTCCAATCCTTCTGCCGACTGCTTTTCGCAATAACCCCCATTTCATTCAACCATTTTGCAGCTAACTCCGTTTAGCGTTCGACGTCACTGATGTTAAATTATCGAAACGAATGTTTTGGAGCTTTTACAGCCAAAATTCCACTGATTGGCCATTGCGGGGTGTTTTGATGTAGAAAGTAGCCGAACCTGAACATGCACAAGTCTTCGCTGTATTCAGTTCAAGGAGTTGCTTTGATCGTTATTCCACCATTCACTGGTGATCCGGTATTCAAAGAATCTTTGATTTCTCTTTTCTTTAAAAGTGCTTTGTATGAAGAGAACAACTCTGACAGTGACCGAGAAAGAGTTACAATTATCGCGATGTTCTTACTCGCCACTTAAATAAATCACGTGCTGTCCGATTTAAATGCTGGAAAAGCACGCGCTGCAACGCGCTAGGCTCGCCGGTGCAATCTTGTTTTTTGCGCTAAAGTTGCAGACTGTTAACAGCAGGAATGGTTCCTGCATCGTAGTTTAACGCTTGAACTCATATTGACTGTGTTTTGGTCGCCTTCCTCATGGACGGGGGTAGGACGTCGACTGGTATGAAGGTGGTGCATCTTTGGACCGTGTGGACGTCCAGCGTGCATGATCATCAGTTCTTTGCATGAAGCCTGGGCGTTTTTCTGGTGAATGCTCGTTCATTGAAGAAATGCAAATTTGAAGGAAATCGAACGAGGATTATGAAGTCCGCAAAATGCACTACCGCTCTTGAGATTGCGATAAAACTGAGTATTTATGTCCGCGTGCATAGAATTTCACCTCCGAACTGAATTAAGACCACACATGAGTACAGAATATTCTTGCAAAGTTTCAGCCTCGTAGCTTGTCAGGTAAATGAAATAGCCATCACACCACAAATATCTTTAAGTGCTCTAAGTCGTAGTGCAAGTGCAAATCGAAACTCAATTTAGTTATACGATTTTCTACCTGAACCAAAAATATCTGACAAAATTTGAACTACTGTTTTCCGACTAGTTTTCGAG